TGCCTTCCCTAGCCTTTCCCTTCCTCTTAGCCGAGGCGAGGGAGTCGCTTCGACAACTGACGACCTCTCACTTTCCTCGAATGGCGCCTTGCGCTCGAGCGAGGACGCTCCAAAAAGTCCTCATCCTCACTGAACAACATACTTGCACACGAAGTCGACCGCGAAAGCGAGCTGCTCGATCTCGCGGGCAAGCATGGACAATTCATCGTCCATAGCCGGATCGATCTCCATACTCCGGCGTGCTCTTACCGGGACCACTTTGGTCTCCAGTCCCACCTCCTTCACTATCTCTCCTCTCACAACATCTTCTCCTACTCCCCTCTGGCCTCCCGTTGCCCCCCCCAGATACACGGGGCTGACCACCCCCGGCTGAACCGGTGCGGTGGTGGCGGATTCTCCATCTCCCGACGGTACCGCCCTGGGAATTCAGTTTTTCGACTGGCCATTCATCTGTTTTCCTTTTTTTAACGGGTGAGGTCCCGTAGAAAGGCGAAAAGGACAACCTAACCTAACCTAACCTAACCTAACCTAACCTAACCTAACCTAACCTAACCTAACCTAACCTAACCTAACCTAACCTAACCTAACCTAACCTAACCTAACCTAACCTAACCTAACCTAACCTAACCTAACCTAACCTAACCTAACCTAACCTAACCTAACCTAACCTAACCTAACCTAACCTAACCTAACCTAACCTAACCTAACCTAACCTAACCTAACCTAACCTAACCTAACCTAACCTAACCTAACCTAACCTAACCTAACCTAACCTAACCTAACCTAACCTAACCTAACCTAACCTAACCTAACCTAACCTAACCTAACCTAACCTAACCTAACCTAACCTAACCTAACCTAACCTAACCTAACCTAACCTAACCTAACCTAACCTAACCTAACCTAACCTAACCTAACCTAACCTAACCTAACCTAACCTAACCTAACCTAACCTAACCTAACCTAACCTAACCTAACCTAACCTAACCTAACCTAACCTAACCTAACCTAACCTAACCTAACCTAACCTAACCTAACCTAACCTAACCTAACCTAACCTAACCTAACCTAACCTAACCTAACCTAACCTAACCTAACCTAACCTAACCTAACCTAACCTAACCTAACCTAACCTAACCTAACCTAACCTAACCTAACCTAACCTAACCTAACCTAACCTAACCTAACCTAACCTAACCTAACCTAACCTAACCTAACCTAACCTAACCTAACCTAACCTAACCTAACCTAACCTAACCTAACCTAACCTAACCTAACCTAACCTAACCTAACCTAACCTAACCTAACCTAACCTAACCTAACCTAACCTAACCTAACCTAACCTAACCTAACCTAACCTAACCTAACCTAACCTAACCTAACCTAACCTAACCTAACCTAACCTAACCTAACCTAACCTAACCTAACCTAACCTAACCTAACCTAACCTAACCTAACCTAACCTAACCTAACCTAACCTAACCTAACCTAACCTAACCTAACCTAACCTAACCTAACCTAACCTAACCTAACCTAACCTAACCTAACCTAACCTAACCTAACCTAACCTAACCTAACCTAACCTAACCTAACCTAACCTAACCTAACCTAACCTAACCTAACCTAACCTAACCTAACCTAACCTAACCTAACCTAACCTAACCTAACCTAACCTAACCTAACCTAACCTAACCTAACCTAACCTAACCTAACCTAACCTAACCTAACCTAACCTAACCTAACCTAACCTAACCTAACCTAACCTCACCTAACCTAACCTAACCTAACCTAACCTAACCTAACCTAACCTAACCTAACCTAACCTAACCTAACCTAACCTAACCTAACCTAACCTAACCTAACCTAACCTAACCTAACCTAACCTAACCTAACCTAACCTAACCTAACCTAACCTAACCTAACCTAACCTAACCTAACCTAACCTAACCTAACCTAACCTAACCTAACCTAACCTAACCTAACCTAACCTAACCTAACCTAACCTAACCTAACCCAACCTAACCTAACCTGAATTAGTTAGTTTTCGTTCCCTGTTGTCCCTCATCTACCTATCACCCCCCTACCCCCGTCAACCCCTTCAATTTTCACTTTTTACCTACACGAAATCTCACTAGTTCTCCCCAATTTTCTCCCCCCCTATCGCTTTTGGAATTTTTCTAGTATTTTTCCCGTGCTGTGCGCTCCGTCCCGAGTGCATAGACACCACACTTGTCCACATCGGAGCACTTTTGCGAAAAATTTGCCCGCCCACCCGCCCTTTTTTCTGACTCTATAAGGTGGAAATTTCGACACAAAAAATTTTTATTTTCTTTTTCGTTCTGAAATCGATAGTGCTGCTTCTCAGCAGCCCCCCCGCCAACTTCTTACTCACCGTTTCTCCCCCAGTTATCCTAAAACTCGAAAATGTTACTAGCACGGTCACCGGTTAGGCGACCCGTTAACTTGCCGTCGAAGTCAGCTGAGGCGCGTAAAGCGGACCCTGCGGCCCCTCAGGCATCTCCAGCTGCTCCGGGCACCTCGTCTACCGACTTCCACCCAATGTGGAAACCAATAGCAGGCAGCGCTCCTGATGACAGTTCTTTAGTTACGTCGTTACCTCTCTCCCAACGTACCCAGTCGAATGTTACAGAAGAAGGGGCCGACTGCCCTGAACGAGTGCAAACACTGGCATTGAACATAGTCAGCACCCTAAGGCAGGCTAAATCCGTCTCTGCCGATATGAGAAACAAAGCCATCGACTCAGCAAATCAAATTGCTCGGCTAGCCGGGAATTTCATGGCCAGCTATTTAAAGGAGATGGAAGCAGAGTCCGCTGCACGCGAACAGGAGCTCATGTGTGTACGCAGCGAGCTTAATGAAATCAAGGCCCTCTTAGACATAAAGAAATCGGACAAAAACGGTGGAGGTGGACGGACAGGCCTTAACTCAGGACTCACAGCTGCAGCTCTCGACCCCATTATGAAGGAGATTCGCAGTCTAAGGGAGGAGCTGAGTAAGCGGGAAAACGTCTGTTCCACAACACACGTCACCAGAGAAGAATTAGATAGGATTCTTGAGGAAAAATTAGAAGCCATCAAAGCTGATATTTCCACCGCAAAAACTGCCATCCTAGACATGAGAGAAGCCAGGCACGAGGAAGTCATGTCTTTGATGCACGAACAAGGCACTGCACTCGATGCGGAGGTTGCTATTATCGAAATCAAAGAGCAAATCGAAGAAGTCCGAACAAAAGTTCAAGAAAATGCTAAGGCGATCAGTGACTATGCTGAGCGACCAAATTCCAAGAAGCCAGTCGATCCGTCAACAGCAACTACAGCACCTGTCACAAAAACCAAACCAGGCAATCAGGTCAATAGAAATAAACCGAGTCGTCCTAGAAGCTATGCCGATGCTCTGAGCAAACCGAACTATGCGGTCTTGATTGAATCGGCCGACCCTAGTAAAACGTCTGAGGACGTCATAAATCAAGTCAAGCAAAACGTAAACGTCATTGATTTAGGCATCGGTGTTAATAGAGTTACAAAGATTAAAAATCAAAAGGTGATCATGGCATGCGGATCCCAAGAGGAACGTAGTGCACTTCAAGAGGCGATACGCCAAAAGTGCACACAAATATCGGCCAGAAGTACGAAGGATAGACTTCCACAAATTAAGCTTGTTGGAGTCATAAACAGTCTCACAGACTCACAAATTGAGAAGGCGGTCATTAGTCAAAATCGTCATTTGCTTGGATCCCTTCCTCCCAATTCACAGGTCAGGGTTCTACGCAGGACTAAAGGTAGAACCCAGGAATTCAAAAATGTAATTCTGGAAGTTTCACCGTCCATCTGGAAAATAATTCAGGGGCAAAAGCTCTACATCGACCTCCAATCAGTACCGGCAGTAGATCAGTCGCCTCTGATTCAATGCTACAAATGTATGGGCTACAATCACAGGGCGGCTGAATGCAAAGAACAGACCAGATGTGGTTATTGTGCCCTAGAACATGACACTAGAGAATGCCCCAATAGGAACTCGACTCCCCAGTGTTGCAATTGCAAAAAAGCGAAAAGAGAACTCGAGCCGCATCCATCGTACAGTCAAGACTGCCCCGACTGGCAGAAATGGGATGGCATAGCAAGAGCTGCTGTCCTCTACTGCTAAGGGAGTTGACACAGTCATGATAACAAATGCCCAAGAAAAGGAAAATCTAAATAGCATAAATAAAACTAAGACATACATATAAATACCTATGTTAAAAGAATATATATTGCAAACATTTATAAATAAAAAGGCAAACAAGATACACACTTAGAATTTGCAGTTCACTGAGACTCGCAGCGAACGAGATGGCGTAAAATAGTGACTGAATATGATTCGATAAAGTCTACAAGGTTTATGCAAATAGTTCAAGACTAAATTTGTACTTTTCAATTTTATATAAACATAATTCTTCAGTTATATATAGATATCATTCGCAATATCCAGTTTTATATAATAAACTGTAATCTCAAATTTTATATATACATAAACTTATATAGTGGAATAATATGTTCAATAATAATAACAATATATGTTCAATATTAAATCTTAGTTACTAAATTTAAAAATGTATAATTCGCAGTTTTCAGTTATATATGGTATTGATATTACTCGCAATTTCCAGTTTTATATAATAAATTGCAGTATAAAAATTTATATGTACATAAAACTATATAATATATATGGGAAAAAAAAAAAAAAAAAAAAAAAAAAAAAAAAAAAAAAAAAAAAAAAAAAAAAAAAAAAAAAAAAAAAAAAAAAAAAAAAAAAAAAAAAAAAAAAAAAAAACCATTGTTATAAATACACAGATATCAAATTTACAGACTAGAAGGTTGTCGCATTAAAACATAGCGACAGAAAAAAAAAAAAAAAAAAAAAAAAAAAAAAAAAAAAAAAAAAAAACCTAACCTAACCTAACCTAACCTAACCTAACCTAACCTAACCTAACCTAACCTAACCTAACCTAACCTAACCTAACCTAACCTAACCTAACCTACCTAACCTAACCTAACCTTTTTTTTTTTTTTTTTTTTTTTTTTTTTTTTTAACGAGGGGAAAATCTTCAGAAAGAGAACCACCGCCAGCGGGATGACGGTGGATACTGTGGGATTCTTACCCACTAAAAACCCCCCGGTATTCCTCTTGGCGCTTTCGCACCGGTGGTCTGGGTACGCTTTCGCAATCATCCACACCACCAGCAGCGCCGCCCCCTTTACAGGGCTTCTCCGAGTGATGCGCCGGGAATACGCAGCGCATGACTCTCGGATCTCCTACCACACAATGGGCTTCGGACGTCTCCCGCCATCCTCCGCCCTGGAGATCACTATCGGAGCCGATGGACTCCCAACGGCGTGTAAATTGCACCGCTAGGTATCCATCGCCTCGCCGCCTACACGGCTATCTCGCGCCGGAGCTCGAGCCTTCCGTGGACGGCACTTTGCTGTGCTGCCTACTCTGTGGTCGGATTTTCGACCCTCCGCGGCGCAGAAACCGCAAGCTGGCGACTGCGCGGTACACTGAGCGGATTTATGGCCCGCTTTTCCGCAGCGGAAGCACAACACGCCCCCGCTGGTGTCCACACTGGCGGTGCACCACTGCGCTACGTGCCCAGAGAGCAAGCAGCGGTAGCACCGCATGGGCCTCGGTTCTAATGTCTGAACCCGAGCCATTACCCAGCCCACTCTTACCCGGCCGGCTTTGGACAGGGCCTTGGCAGCACTTACTGGGCAGCGAACCCATATGGAGCCGACTCCCGAGGGAGCGCGACGGATCTCCCCCGTCTTGATGAGGGCCTCGTCGCAACCACCTTCCCGCGCAACCGCGGCAATGACCTCGGCAGGTGTAGCCGAGTCGTCAAGATTCCGTATTCGCAGTTCAGCCGACTTGATCGGCCTGGAAATCTTGACGGCCCCCTCCGGCAGGATCTCTGCCAGCTTATTGGCCAGCAGGTCTGCTTTGTCGCCTGAATCGGCGCCTGGCACCTCCAGTATACGCGACCCTGTGGCGCCTAATCTGAACCTGGCGTCGGTGATTCCGAGTTCGGTCGGTGAGAGCTTGCTGTGGGCCTCTCGGAACACTGACGCATAGGTTATGCCCTTTTCTTCCGCACCGGGCTGCAGAGTAATAACGACTGCCTGCGAGCGCGGAAGACGGAATCTTCTCTTCCTCTTCTTCTTTGGCTTCGGCGCCGGTGTCGTGGCAGGCGCCGTCTTCTCTTGTGCCGCCTGACTGGCGGGGGCCTCCTTCGCTGGGGTCTTCTTCCGACGCTTGCCACGCCGAACGACCGTCGTCCACTGCTCCGTTGTTGTACTAGCGGACGGCGGCGGGGCGCGACTCGTGCCCGGATCGCCAGCTGAAACCGGTTGAGTTGCCCGGTCCCTACTCTGGGTTGGTGCCTTCGGTGCTCGCGGAGCGGATTGCGAGGCACTCCTTGCGGCTTTCGCCTTGCGTGCCGGCTTCCTCTTGCCGGGTTGTGCGAGCCGTTCCTCAATTGCGGCAAGTCGGACATTAAAAATGTCTCCGATCTGCCGTACAATTCTCGCCTCCAGGCTCTCATCTGGAGAAGCCGCGACCGGCTGTATAGGGGCCGGTGCAGCACATGTCCTGTCCTTGGTAGCCTCACCAGGCGCACGCTGCGGCACTGGCGAGGCTTGCAGCTCTTGTAGCTGGTTTTTAAGCTTGCGGATCTCAACGCTCTGCTCCAGCAATCTCCTCTTCAGGTCTATGGTCTCGTCGACATATGACTGAACCTGACGCTCAAGGTTTTCCCTCTCGGCTCTAAGCTCGAGCACCTCTTTCGCGTTTGGGGCGTTAGCGACTGCCTTGCGAAGGGCCCTCATCTCGACGGCGCTTCTGACCGACTCCTCGCGGATGCCGGTCATCATAATTTGCCGCTCTTTCAACTCAGCCTCCAACCGAGCGTTGTCTTTGCGCAGATCAGCGCATTCAGCCGTATTCGTCCGGTCAACGAACCACTCCGTGTTTCTGCGGATGGTCGTTATATTCTCCTTGATCATTTTTATAATCGTACCCTTCAAGTGGCCAGATTTTTTGACGGCCTCCAAAACGTTTCTGGCACATTCATCCATTTCGGCTCCGACGACGTCTGCTCGCTTAATTTCCTCCACGGGGAATATGTTGTAATGGCGAGTCACTGGTTTCGAAGTGCCGGCAACGGCCTCTGCGGCCTCTTTCTCCATTTCTCTATCGACATATTCGGCAAGGTCGGCCCTCGCCTGCGACAGTCCTGCATATCGGCCCGTGGCCTTAGGTGGAATAGCCTTGGGCGGAACGGTGTTTCCTCCTTCGTACAGAGCGACACGGAACTGCTCTGCGCTGCTGGGGGCTTTTGCCTTCCCAGCCTTTCCCTTCCTCTTAGCCGAGGTTTGTGAGTCGCTTTCGACAACTGACGACTCCTCATCACTTCTCGAATGGCGCCTTTTGCGCCTGGAGCGAGGACGCTCCAAAAAGTCCTCATCCTCACTGAATAACATACTTGCACACGAGGTCGACCGCGAAAGCGAGCTGTCGATCTCGCGGGCAAGCATGGACAATTCATCGTCCATAGCCGGATCGATCTCCATACTCCGGCGTGCTCTTACCGGGACCACTTTGGTCTCCAGTCCCACCTCCTTCACAATCTCTCCTCTCACAACATCTTCTCCTACTCCCCTCTGGCCTCCCGTTGCCCCCCCCAGATACACGGGGCTGACCACCCCCGGCTGAACCGGTGCGGTGGTGGCGGATTCTCCGTCTCCCGACGGTACCGCCCTGGGGAATTCAGTTTTTCGATTGGCCATTACATCTTTATTCCTTTTTTAACGGGTGAGGTCCCGTAGGAAGGCGAAAAGAAATTGAAAATTGAAAAGTATAGACAAACAAAAACGACAGAAAAGAGAAAGATGACAGAAAAGACGACAGAAAAGATATAACAAAAACAAAAACAAAACAAAAAAAAAAAAAAAAAAAAAACAAAAACGAAGAAAAACGAAACAGAAGTAGAAATAAAACGAAGAGCGAGTCAGGCGAGTCCGCAACACAAATAGTGCGTCACGAACTCGTCCCACCCGCGGCGTCGGAAGATTAGCCGTCGGTAAGTGAGATCTCTAAATAGCGAGAAGTCACTTACCGCCGTTGCCCAGGATGCACCAGGCCCCAGCCATTGTCAGCCACCGTTCCCGCCGGACGTATCCGCACCAGGACAAGTGACCGTACAATGAGCCAGGGCACTCTTGGAGGTTTTCCGACCCAGCACCCCAACCTAACCTAACCTAACCTAACCTAACCTAACCTAACCTAACCTAACCTAACCTAACCTAACCTAACCTAACCTAACCTAACCTAACCTAACCTAACCTAACCTAACCTAACCTAACCTAACCTAACCTAACCTAACCTAACCTAACCTAACCTAACCTAACCTAACCTAACCTAACCTAACCTAACCTAACCTAACCTAACCTTAACCTAACCTAACCTAACCTAACCTAACCTAACCTAACCTAACCTAACCTAACCTAACCTAACCTAACCTAACCTAACCTAACCTAACCTAACCTAACCTAACCTAACCTAACCTAACCTAACCTAACCTAACCTAACCTAACCTAACCTAACCTAACCTAACCTAACCTAACCTTTTTTTTTTTTTTTTTTTTTTTTTTTTTTTTTTTTTACATGTGGAAAATGCGTCATGCAGAGACACACCCCCGGGGGAGGGTGTGAATACTGCCGGACTCCTACCGGCTAAAAACCACATGGCATTCCCTCGCCGCGCCTTAATGTTGGGGACCCGGGTTCCCTTGCGTAGTCTACCGGGATCCCCAACGGCGTTGGCCCGCACCGGCTCGCGGGCCCCGACTCAGTTTGGGGCGGGTACGAGATGTTGAATACCCACCCCCGTCTAGGGGAAGCGCGCGGGGATGCGCGCGCGACTTCCCAGGGCCATGTTGGTGTGGAGTGGGACTGCCCCCGCAGTCGTCACCCCGGCCCTGTGGCGATGTAATTATCGCCGGAGAGGAGGGCGGGACTACCTGCCCGTTTCCATCTCCTCTCCCTCCACACTTACCCGGCCTGCTGGGTTCGGCAATTTCACCGGTTGCTTCTTACGCTTCTTAGGAGGAGTGCAGGCCTTGGACCCCACCCAATGGTCCGACGGCCGGCCCTGCGCTGAACACACAGCGCACTTTGGGTCGGCCGCGCACATCGCCGCCTTATGGCCTTCGTTTCCGCAGCGGTAACATAGACCGCTGCGGTCCTGCTCATGACTGCAGGATGCCCGCACATGTCCTTCCTCCAAGCAGCGGAAGCACCGAAGCGGCCTCTGCCGCAGGAGCTCTGCTTTCGCCGAAACCCAGCCTATACGAACTCGGCCGGCGACCGTCATCTTCTTAACGACTTGCAACGGGCCTTTAACCCAGCAAGTGCCCACCCCAGATCTAGTACGTCGAACCTCTCCGACTCGCACTTGGTCCACCTGACAGCCGCCCTCCCGGGCAACCGCAGCGGCCACTTCCTCCGACGTAACACCGAGCGGCGACTCTGTCGTCCAGGCCCGATATCCGCATCTCCGCGGACTTTACGGGCCTGGAGATTTTGGCCATATTCTCCGGGATGAACTCCCGGAGCTTCGACGCCAGAACGTCGGCCTTCTCCGCGCCATCAGCACCTGGGACCTCTAGGACCTTACCGCCGGTGATCGCGGTGCGAAACCGCATATCTTCGATCCCCAATGCGCGGAGATCGATCCTTCTCTTGGCCTCCGCAAGGACATTCGCATACGCGACACCCTCCCTTTCCGCCTCCGGGTCCAACGTAATAATCACCGCCGCGGAGCGAGGCGGTTTCAGTCTAGAAGGCGAGGGTGCGCTCGTCTTCTTTGCCTTCTTCGAGGGGGCCGAACCGGCTTTCGTCACCGGAGGGTTCGCAGCCACAGGCTGCCCTTCGGGAACACTGACGG